ATGACAATGGGAGCTCAAGGGTCTCTGCGCCCTTGTCCACAGGTGTATCATGCTGCTCCTGTCCTGTTTCTGTTTCTGATGCCCGGAGGGGGGGGGGCATCAGTGCTTATGCACGGCTGGGCAGTGTGCCAGGGGGGGTCTAACAGTGCTGGTGTGCAGTGGAGGGGGCCAGCTGAACTGCCCAGTATTAGGCTGGAATCCAGATGAAGAGATAGTGGGGAAGAGGTCAAAATGGGATTATCAGTTTAATTTTTATTAGATAGTCTTTGATTTACAACCTTTCAGTGACCATTCAAAATTACAATGACACTGAAAAAAGTGACTTATGACCATTTTTCATACTTACAACTATTGCAACATTTTCATGTTCACGTGATCAAAATTCAAATGCTGGACAACTGATTCATATTTATAATGTCCTGGGGTCATGTGATCACATTTTCTGACCTTATAGCAAGCAAAGTCAATGGGGAAGCCGGATTCACTTAACAACTGTGTTACTAAATTAACAACTGCACAGATTCACTTAACAGAGGAAATTTTGGGCTCAATTGTGGTCATAACTCTTGGGCTACTTGTATATAGAAACTGGATTGCAGTAGTTATTATTTGTGTTCTACAATGTATTATTTGTATTCTGCAATGAAGCAATTAATGGGTTTTAAAAGGAAGAGAGGAAAAGAAAAAAGAAAACGGATACCCTTTCTATACATTTAGTTAATATCATAGTTTAAAAAAAAACAGAATTCAAAGGGGAAAAGTCCAAACTGAAATAAACACATAATTGAAGCATGAGTAATAGAAGTCTTCTGATGCTTAAAAAATCAGCTTTTCAAAATCAAAAGATCTTTCTTACAGAAGAGATTAATTTCTATTTTTAAAGGTTTATACAAGTATACATACCATTTATAGTTTTTGATATGGAGCCAACTGGGAATATGATGTTTCCCTCTTACATTACGATGGTTAGTTTTTCCCCCCTATAAAAATTATTTATCAAAAGCAAGCCCTTTACTTTTGAGGTGGGATTTGTTTGCAAAAACCAAAGTCAATGTTGAAACCAACAGGGTCTATAATCAAGATATTTCTTTCTATTAATCTTGCCTTGAACTAACAAAGTGTGCAAACACTACAGTCCGTTCCTCACAGAACTCAATAGGTGTACAATTCACCAAGCACAGTTAGCGCACCCATGGGGGTTTGCAGGGGGGCAAATGCCTGAATATGTAAGCTGATGACCTCATGCAAATGCAGTAACTTACACAGTTGTGTGAAATGTTGGGATCCAAATATATATACAGGGTGCATTAAAAGGATAATATTCCCCCCTTCACTTGTTAACGTTTTACATCATGAACAGTGGTGGGATTCAAATAATTTAACAACCGGTTCTGTGCCCTAATAACCAGCTGGGTAGGCATGGCTCAGTGGTCATGTGACTGTGTGTCCATGGCCACTCAGGTCAATGGGCACTTCATCTTAGCTGTTACAATGTAATAAGGGTTAACCAGAGATGCAGTTTCTGTAAGCAGAGCCATAAAGATTAGGCTAGAAGCAACACCAGAATGTTTCCTTCCTGCCTTCCGTACAGCATTAGCCCTGTAAAGTGGAAAAAACCAAAATTGAGATTTCTTCCAACAACCAGTTCTCCGAACTGCCTAGAAAGTTAACAACCACTTCTTCCGAATAGGTGCGAACTGGCTGAATCCCACCACTGATCATGATGGTTTGCTGCTGATGTGACTTAAAGCTCAAATAGTTTTTCAGTTCTCACACTCAAACTAGTTAAAAATTCAAGATTACCATAATAAACCCATTTTTAAACTTGAATGATATCAGAGAAAAAAAAGGTGGTGGAAATTTTAACTTGCATTCATAAAATAAAGAGTGCAAATAATCATGAAGTAGTCAGGCTTCCTTAACCAAATCAACATTAGTTAATGGTTGAAATCAAAACTTTCATCTTGAAGTAATTTCTACAATTCTGCTAGTTATTAAGAAATAGGAACTGCATCAAAACTAAGCAGTGTTGTCAAGTCTGTCCTGCCTGGCTCATGAATGCAATAATAGAAAACCCAAGAGACTCCCTTTTTTCTATCACAGCAAAACAGGCAGTCCTTGACTTACAACAGTTCATTTAGTGTCCCACACTGAAAAAAAGTGACTTATGACCATTTTTCACATTTATGACTGTTTCAGCATCCCTGTGATCACATTTTACATTCAGATGCTTGACAATAGGCTCATATTTATGACGGTTGCAATGTCCTGGGGTCATGTGATCATTTTTTGCAACCTTCTGACAAGCAAAGTCAATGGGGGAGCCAGATTTATTATGTTACTAACTTAACTGCACTCATTCACTTAACAACTGTGGCAAGTTGTAAAATGGGGCAAAATTCACTTAACAAATATCGCACTTGGCAACATAAACTCTGGGCTCAATTGAGGTCGTAAGTTGAGGACTACCTGTACATCTGATAGAAGACTTGAAACCAACATTAGTCTTAGATCTCACTTGGAAAGATCCAATGTTGCAGCATTTTTCATTAACAGAATGAAAAGTGGACATTCTGTCAACGTGTTAATTGCAAGACAAGAAAAGATGTTGCTTCTCAAAATAGAAGATATTCTATTCCTCTGACACATCACTGGACTAAGGGAGTAATAGATGCCTAGCAAAAACATATCAAATATAAAGTTTGTTTGGAGCCATGTTAGCACAGTGGTTAGAAAGCAGTATGGCAGGCTACTTCTGCTGACTTCCTGCTGCCAGAATTTGGCAGTTTGTCTCACCAGGCTCAAGATTGACAGCCTTCCAACCTTCTGAGGTTGGTAAAATGAGGACCCAGATTGTTGGAGGCAATATGCTGACTCTGTAAACCATTTAGAGGGGCCTGTAAAGCAGTGTAAAGCGATATATAAGTCTAAGTGCTATTGCTGTTGCTATTATTTTATCCAACCTATACTTTATATACTATATGAGCTAGTATTTGGAGCAATGTTTCTCAATCTTGGCAACTTTAAGATATATGGATTTCAATTTCCAGAATTCCCCAGGCAGGATGGGTTAATGCTGAAGATCTATCAATGTATTATAACCCTGAGCAACTCAGGATTGCACTCAGCAACTATAAAGGTCAGCAAAAATAATTATTTTATTTTTCCAGGATTGAGTCACTGTAAACAGATAAAACGGGTACAAATATATTCTTTCTCATCTGAGCAAATATAGAACACTGTTTTTCCTTAAAAAGAGGAGAAAAATCAAATAAATCAATTGTAGCACTTTTGGGGTGCTTAACATTTTTGTGAGAAAATGTCACTTGATAAAACTGGACAATTGATGTTTTACGCATGCTATCAAAATATTATTAAGTATTAAGTTTAATAATTCAGTGGCGTGTATAATAAGAATAGGAATTATGTGCATGACTAACGATTTCCTTGGAATAAGGCAGGGATGGTAAAATACATTTTAATATGCATCATAATGGAATTTATAATGCATTTGTTCTGAGTTTTCTAGGTCAAATGGAATGTTTCTCCAGCTTATTGCAGCAATTAATGCTATATTATTGGGTATTTAGCACTCCCTGCAGGACAAAAGAAGTATTCCAAATAATTCTTATTACCTGTCATGCAAATAAACATGGGACATATTAAATAACATTCTGAAAACGTAATGCTTGGTATATTTTTAACAATTGCTTATAAATTTAATTTTATATTCTAATTTATGTAAGATTCTTTGTATAAATATTAGTGACAACTAAGGAAGACATGCTTCTCTTATTAATTAATCAGTATCAAATGTAATGAAAATAATAAAGACCCTAAATTCAAAAAGTATATTTTGTTGAGTGTAATATTTGGCAAGAACAAAGGACTCTGCATAATGTTTTAATCAATTAAGTTACATAAAACAGAAGCAAAGCACTGGAGTATACCTATTCAAGAGTTCCACATCCTGCAGCATTACAGATGCCTTACTCTGAATGGGTAAATTCAGGCACAGAGATGTTAAGTTCCACATTCTGATCAATATATACAGTACACTCAGCATATTTAACATTTTTTTGTGAAATATAAACAGTTGGTATCATCTAGACCTCAGAGCTTTCAGCGTACGTTTAAGAAAGATTTATCAAGCATGTAGGGCAAAACTAGAATATTAAAATACAAGCCATTCTGTACTACTGACTTTATAAAGCTATTTATTTGAGATTGGCTATTTGTGAGTATAAAAACTTACAGTGAAAAGCCCTCATATCATTTTTTTGTAAATAAATAGCTTCTTTTCAACATGTCTCCTACTGACATCCGTAAACTAAACTAAACAAACAAAAAACAAAACCTAACCAGTTTTGTTTTTTTAAAAAATGTGAGCAGCCTGAAAATAAAAAGGCTGAAAAACACTTTTTCATAGTCGGGAGAATGTATTTTGTTTAAAGCTTCTTCAATCCACTTGAGAATATATTTCAAAGGAATACCTAGAAACATTTACGAAGTGATGCCTCTTGGCAGCTGAGGTTTTTTTTGACAATATGGTACAAAACCAATTTGGCTTTCAGTGATAGCTAATTGGTCTAAAGTGCATCCTTCGTTAATAATGTGGAATAAATATTTCAGATCTTGTACAAACTCTGCATCTACTATTCAGAAAAGCAATCTTTTTTCCCAGGCTTCTGTAGAGACCTGCAACAAAATGGCTATTTTAAAGGATTGATTCATCAACATTAATGTGATTCTTAAAGCAGCCACATTGCTTTTTAGGCTCACATGCAATAATTAAATAAACTGAGTTGATGTTTAGATGTTTAGATGTTTATTAACATTTGTATGCCGCCCTTTTCCCTGAGGGGACTCAGGGCGGCTCACATAAAATCAGGGAGGGGGAATACAAACAATGACGTAGACACATATAATAAAAGTAATAAGCAACATACATTCATCATTCGGGAGGGGCGGCTATCCTTATCCCCAGGCCTGACGGGCTAGCCAGTTCTTGAGGGCTGTGCGGAAGGCCTGGACGGTGGTGAGGGTACGAATCTCCACGGGGAGTTCGTTCCAAAGTTAGTTACTTTAAAAAACAGCAGAAAGATACTATAATGGCTTAAGGTTTGAATCATTTCTGTAATTTGCACAGCCCTAGTAAAGAATACTCAGTAAGTCAATAAGTCAGTAAATAAATAAACAAATAAGGAGTTAAGTATCTACCACAATGTACTGTATTAAGGGAAAGCATTGTGACTTTGAATGCAGGGCTTGGAATTATACTTTAGTTCAACAGTTCCCAAGCTGTGTGCGGTTAGCAAACTCACAGGGGCATCATGGAATATTTTAAATTTTTGCTCCATTTATTTGTAAAGTTGGGGTTTGCAATGTCCAATCTTTGTGGAGCTGATTTTTTGGCAGTTGCTATGGAAAAAAAAGCAGGTATTGTGTGAAAAACAATGTAGAACACGAAATGAGGGTGTAGGTGTCCAATCTGATTTCACGATTTGAGAAATTGTGTGCACAAACATACACAGACTCCTTTACTAATTAATTGTGGTTATTTAAGAATACTTTTTAAAAGTGCTTGGAATTTAGGTGTATTTTTCCCCAATGTCTATTAAGTTGTTAGGACATAAAATCTTACTACTTGAACCTAACTACTTAATAAATGAAATTGTTAAAACATTTCCTTTGGTCTACAGCTGCCATGAAAAAATTACTGAAACACTAATGGCCCTTGTAAATCAAGAAAGATTAAAAATCTCTGGTTTAGTTGATGATATTTAAGCAGAATATATTTCTATCAAACAGTTACTGCCACTGCAAGGTGAGGGGTGGTGTGGTATTGGGAATGAAATAATCACTAAATTGTTGCAACAATCTTTCTTGAAATTCATGAGGAGAAAAAAGGCACTACATCTTCTTAAATGCCAGAATTCATATTTCTTATCAAGGTAAGTATACTCAAACAACTTTAACAACACTTAACAGCAACAGTTATAAATGTATACATTTGTGACTAGGACAATACAAGCTTATATCCTCTCAACTGTTGAGAAAACTGTAACAGTATTTGCAATTCCTTTTATTTCTAGTCAATAAAGAGGTCAAGGTAGCTTAAACCAGTATTAATGTTTTTAGAATAATTTAAAGCAATTCATCCATTAAAAGGATGCACAGATATTTTATACATTTTCTACAAAACCATACATTGGCAATTAACATTAAGAAACATTATTTCACTAAGCTTTCAGTTGTACTGAAAATCTACTAAAAAACCAAACAATTCAGAAAGAAAGTTGAAAATTTGAGATAATTTTAAAACATAAATTAAAAGTACAGATCAAATTGAACAAGTTCACTTTTTTAGATCTATATGCATGCACAAAAATCCAATATGGAAAATGACTAACAATTTGTTACTTCATTTTTAAAACATTTTGCTGTATTTCCAGATGCTTTAGCCCAGCTGATATTCCTAACACACTTATTTATATGACTCATTGATTCCAATGTGTTCACTAGTGACTGTATTTTAGAAATATAATTGTCTCATGAATTAAGAGGAATTTATCACAGAATGAATACATTAACAGGGAAGGCATCGTGCTAGATTTTAGATATCTGGAGTATCTGAGTAATTCCCTAAATACAAAGTATATATTTCTGCTCCCAATGCCCCAGTTTGATTAGTCTCCAAGACAACCATTCAGAAAGTTCACACCGGAATCTGTCTCATAAGCCATTCAACTAGCAAATGATAACTTCCCTTTCTGAAAAGGATCTTTACATAACAATATCTGCTTCCATCTCTAGCGTCATCAAAGTGTGTCCTGCTATCTCTTCAAAGTCTCCTTGAGCATGTCAGTTTGGAACTGAGAACTTTATATAGTTCAGCTTTGATAAGTTGGAGAATAGTCTGGCCGCCTAGTTTTAATAATTTTTGGCTTTGGTCTCTTGACTACTTTCCTTGTTTCTTCTGACTCAATATCCTCATTGCTTTCACAAACATGGACCACCACACTAGGAGTAGTTTCAGTTGCAGCATGAAGTTCATATTGAGCCCCTAAAATGTATTTAAAAAACAGTAAGTGTTAATAATATACTTAATAGCACATACAATTTCCCAATTGAATTTATTGCATATCGCCATTGATTAAAACAGCCACAACATGATAAGGTGTTTAATACCTAGCTGCTTGCCTTTCTGAATCCAGAATGCTGCTCCCAGATTTCCAATAGAGAATTCAGAAATATCTAACATCTTCTCAATTTTGATAGAACAAAATATTCTCTTTTATTATTTGAGTTAAGAATTGCACTAGAACTGACTGAATTAGTTTTATTTATCATATGAATCTCATCCCCCCCTTTATATTTATTTTATTTTAATCAAAGTAAATCTATCTGGTTTCTTACTACATTATAACTGGTGCATAATAGGCCAAAAAAAGTTACGGATTCCATTGCTAGTTCCTGATTGTTTCATTCACAAAAATGGGCTGTTTTGGGGAGGTTTGCAGAGTGCAAAAACATTTTTTCCCCTTTTAGAAAGCTCTTTAACTGATTGATGAGATTTAGATTTATCAAGTGCTGTGCCAGCAGAAACAAAGTCTTAGGTGCTGCAAATTGTCAGTGATTTCCTTCTCCAGCACATGGATAAATACACCTGGAAACACCTACCTACCTACTCTCTCTCTCCCTACGTACCCACTGTATTTCTCTCTCTCTCTATCCCTTTATCTACCTACTTACCTACCTACTCTCTCTCTCCCTACGTACTGCATTTCTCTCTCTTTCTCTCCCCCCCTATCCCTCTATCTACCTACCTCCTTTTTAAAAAAAAATTGCCTCTTCAAAACCTTGGTGCGTCTTATACTCCGGTGTGTCTTATACTCCGAAAAATACGGTAAATTTTAAAGGAGTATTTATTTATTTACCTTACAACTATTATTGTGGGCTCAATTACAGTTGTAAGTCAAGGACTACTTGTATACAACTTCTTTAAG